TTTTCGTATGCTACATGTTAGTTATGATAGAGGTTTTCTGCATTTGTTTCGCTTTTGTTATTCGAAAATAAACCAAGTATATCTTCAAACCCAGACTCAGTAGAAAAATTATGATCTTAAGCAATATTCGAAGTATAATGAACCTTGACAATTAAATTTCATTTTCTTTTCTAGAAAAGCCGTCGTCAAATAGTTAATAGAAAAGAGAAAGCATAGAAAACAAGATAGCTGTAATTGAAACTAATTAAAAACTTACTTACAAAAATATATGTGTAGACGAAAATTTGATGCTCGACCTTCACAAAGGATACTTTTACGAAAAAATACATTTTTTGTTTTAAATTATTCGTTCACATAGGACAATTCTTTTTTATAAAGGACATCTAGTCTGAATATAATTACTACAAATCTTAATACTTCTGTGTTGTCTTTATGAAGATAAATAATGAAGATGTGTTTAGACTGAAAACGTATGGTACATGATGGTTTGAATTCGGATTTATCTATAGTCATAACTAATTTATTTTTCGCGATTTATAAAGAATAATTCACATCTGGCTATTACAATTGTTATTTGTTAAGTGATTCACATAATCCATTTTTACATCATTAAGGTGATTAGGGTGTGCTTGAGAATATTTCTATGAATGATATAGTATCTATTATCTTAAAAAATCGAATTTTCGATTATTTCAATGTTAGTGATGAAAAACAGCATTTATTTGATCAAGGTTATCGTTTTGACGATATTGACGCTGTTACTGCTCATAATAATGAATTTGATCATGACAATAGAAGATGTATTGATGATTTACATGAAGGTCAGATTATTAAAGTGTAGGAACATTTTAATGGCGATACTATGTGGATCGATCCAATATGATATTACAGAAGGTACAGACAACGCACTTAACGATACGAACAATTTTTTGAATGAAAACTTTATCTTCGATGTAGTTAGACGTTAATGTCTTTAGTTTTTTTTGTAGTGTTTTTTGTTATAGTAGGTACTAAAGTTATTCTAGCTATAAAGGTAGGTATAGTTATCACTGAATTTATTATATTATAAAATCGAAACTAATATAGTATCTTTTAGTGTTACTTATTTCTACTGAAATAGATGATGATTTAATTTTCAGATATTGTTGTTATTATGACACTATACATTTTTTAGGTTAGTGTTGTTTTAGCTTTGTTACATCGTTAAATGTTTGTAGTGCCAAGACTGATTGTTTGTGTTGGTCATATTGAACATTGACAGCTTGCAGAGCACTACGTAGATCTGTACTGACAGTCATTAGCCCACTTTTTTTCTGATGCTAATTGAGCAATGGTATTGGCTAGTTGATAGTTTTTAGTTGAAACTTGATTGTTTGTTCACTCGTTACGCCCTAAGAGATGAATCTTGTTTTTTGTTTTGGAATGTTCGGAGAGCGTAGATGTGAATCGATGCAGATATGCGTCTGAGTGTAAGTGTTAAGAGAAAATGTCTACATCGACACACTCAGTTTTTCATCAAGAAGACCTTATTTGTCTCTACCCCGTGAATATAAAAAAAGAAACTGCTACAATTTTATTTGAAATGTAAATTGTTTTCTTACTCTTCTGATTTCTATTGCAAAAGAAAGTTATATTATTTACTGCTTAAAAGCATCGCACCCGTTGCAACATTGTCATGTATTGGATATTTGTGTGCTGTTAGCTTTTTTCTTTGATGTTAATCCATTTTTTAATTTTTGATATGCTGACACATATGTATAGTTAACTTAGGAAGGACAATAGGACGTCAGACTAGATTATACAGATATAGATACATGTGTAATAAATAACAAATATTTAAATAACTATACATTTAGCGCTTTCGTTTTACTAATATTGAATGATAGAAACCATCAGCTACATTAAACACGTTTTTCATTCATCACCATCTCTTTGGATTATCCGAATGTATTTGAACAGCTGGTCCACATAGTGCTCCTTTTTTGTATAAGTTTAGCATTGCATAATTAAGAAAAAACATAATTTCTTAAATTTTATCTAAATTATGTGTACAGACAGCCTTACTGCACAAAAAGTTCAACTCGGATTAAAATCTAAGTTTTTTGGATTACTTTAAAACAAGAAAGGTTTCAATGAAATATGAAAAAGATGACGCATCGTTAGTGGAAAAACAAAATAAATATAATGTATTTGAAATTAGATTAAATACAATACATGATCATCTAAAAATCACATATCGGTTTTTGTGGAAAGAACTCTTATATCGTGCAGAAGGAACCTAATCTTGATAATTTTGGATGGATTTTTTATATGTAGAAAAAACTTACCTCTCAATTACATTCTAAGTCTCTCGATAGAGAAAATAGAGACCACCCTAAGTCATCTCTTGCAAAGAATGGCTTCCCTTCTTGATTTTTTTCATCTCCCTATCTGTTCACTTTCCTTTCATATGAAAGAGAAACGAAAACATAGTATGCAAAAAAACAAAGGAAAGGTGCAGCCCTGCGCAACAAGGGACATAGCTTAATCCTTACTTTTCTGGTAATGTCAACTTTATTACTTGAAAAACTTCCTCTTTTCATAACATTTCGATAGAATCCAAAAGATAAATGTCGATATTTGGCTATCGCTTACCAAAGGAATAATCTACCTATTCATTACTCAGAGTACATCTTCACTTTTCATATATTGTTCTCACATCTATGCTGTGCTGTTTTGTCAATAAATTACATGTGTGTAAATTGAGGTTTGTACAAAGTAAAAAGGGACCACGCTTCTGTCATACATGGGACCAATTCTACATCATGATTAATTGTTGTTGTCGCCCAATTCTTTAACTTCTTTTTGATTGAAAAATTTACCCTTGATCCTTTTCAGAGACAAATCAAAAATGGACTCAATGAAAACACTACTCTTATTGTTTAGACATCTGCCATTTTCAGTGGCGTAGCTAGGAATTTTTGAGTCATGGGCCGTTTTCCAGCAAAATTATTTTGAGCATTGGGCAGCTGTGGGCCATCAACTAAGACACGAAGTTGCTTCCTTTTTTTGTACTGTTTCACAAATATATAACTTACTCTTCAACTTTCAAATGTTCCAGCATTTTATGTCAAAAAAGCATCTGTGAACATAAATAGAACAGAACAAAAAATAGCACAAATAAACTTAAATAGAGCAAAAGTTAGTTTCTTTCATTGGATAATGAAGAATGTTAGTTTGCTCTCTATTATCGAGCAATGACAAGCGTTACTGAGTATTTATCGCTAACGAGTCCTACGAAAATTGAACATTTTCTTTTGTATGGTTTTGATCTTGAGTTATATATACGTCCTCGAAATTACAGATTAATCATTTTTAGTCACTAACCACAATTCCTGATTATATTTTCAAAGCATTTTCATTTTTATTTTCCATTTAGTTTATATAACTTTTAAATTCTAAAATTGCAACAACCTTGTCATCCATCTATCATCAACCTATTTGGCGTATATTATTTCACTCATTTTCGTTAGATAAGGTTTTATATGCTTGGAAAGGTCAACCAGTATTTATCCATGTTTTTCGTTAGCGAATTTAAGTGGAATGACGAGTTTGTGACAAAACCCTACAGTTGAATTGTCATCATAGTGTACATCGACTGAATGCAAAAGATAGCGTGTTGATCTTTCTGGATCCCTTGCTTAGATCACAATAAGAGACAATTTGTTGAAATAACACCACTTGAGTCCTCGAACATGCATGTTTATCGAGATTTTTTAGCATTGGGCCATTGATATTATATCGAAAAAACATATGGGCAATAAGTTTTGAACTAATGGACAATTGCCCAATGGCCGTACCCCTTGGCTACGCCACTGGGCCCTTTTGTAAGCTAATCACTTTAAACAGCATATGAAGTTTCCTCATGGTGTCCACGTGCTTTATTGACGGAGTTCATTTTTTGACTGAGCTCTGAGTAGAACTGAAGTAAACTCTCAATTGAAAGTGAACATACTCGATTGGGTTTCCAAGAGTGCGGATCTCAATTCAGTAGAAACGATGTAACTCATTCGAAACCAGTTCTCTCATCGATTATCTTCACGAAAAATGGAACAATGTTGGTAAGGACTTGCGCCTTAAGTTGGCTGAATTGATGCCTAAACGAATATCAACATATTTTCAAGCTAAAGGCGAACTTTTTCTTTAAAAGTATCGTATTCGACTATAATTTCATGAAAATATAACAAAGATAATGACAAGTGTCTTCCAGTTTTTCCACTGGATAAAAACAGTTTCTGTAATAGGAACTCAATCAGTTCATCATTAATGTATTTGATATAATAGATTTAGAGTCCATTCTGACAGCTATCGAAATCACTATTTGGATGTCCATAACAGCTAAGCGATCTTCGAGGTAGAACAGAGAAAGCAAAAGGTATCTTCAACTTTTTTCTGACATTTTATATGTACAATTAAGATCAAAGAGAATATTGAATGAATATTTGTAATATATAGAGAAATGTATGTAAGTTACGCTATGGACAAGTCACTGAGGACAATGTCTAAAATAGATATTTTCGAAATTGTTCTTATCTGATAACACGAAATTCGAAATTTTTCTAACTATTATCCAACATAGAGAATGCTAATTTTAACATATATTCTCAAAAGAAATAGATATGTTTAAGATATTCTCACTAAATATAAATGGATACATCGTATTAATCTTGACTGAAACATATATTGCCCAAATAGTTAGATTCTATAATCATGATTATATTTATTCGAATATGAGAAATCCTTTTCTTTTTCATATAATACATATGCACCATATAAAGGACATATTGAACACATTCAGATTATAAGAACAAACCTATGCATATGCATACATGGGTGAAAGTCAACAGATATCACCGAGCTAAGAATCGAATTACATATATACAAATAATTAACACAATAAGGTTAATAATAGGCACGTAGGTGATATAAATAATGATCATCTGACAAAAAAAACAAAACGATTAGTTCTGATTAATAAGTTGAATTTTATCACGACGAACAATTATTCCATGCTTATCTCGACATTTAAAATACAGGTGTCCATTATACGTACCATTATGTTTTCCTGAATTAAAATTAGTTGTGTTTTCTTTGTTTTAGGAAACAAAATTAACAAATAGTTAACTTACCAACTGGTTCATCAAGTTCAATGCCATACCAAATACCTGGTCCGATTGAAGTTTCTCCAATAAAACGAATGGTACCTGATTTATTATGTATAGAATGACCGGTGTTTATAATCACACGTGAATCAATTATATAATCTTCACTATTATTATTATTATTATTATTATTATTACTGATGATTGATTTCGATAATGATTCACTAGATGGACTTGATAATATATTATATTTTTGTTCAAGTGGAATTTGACTTTCTTGTTGATCATTATCATCTAAATCGATAGTATGTTTTATTTCAAAAGTTGATGTTTGTATAGATTGTAATTGTTCTTCTTCAATAAATAATGAACGTGAGATCATACTTGGTGTTGAACTATTTAATTCCGAACGACTCAATGATAGTATTGTTTCATTAGGAAGCTGTAAAATTTGATTGTCAAGATTTTCTCGTCGAGAATTTGCTGATGAACTACTTGTATTCTGTAGAAATAGAATTATTAGAAAATTAATAAATATAATTGTTGAGCTATCTATGGTCGATTCTCATTTAACAATAAACAATATCTATTGTATTTTATATTGGAATAGTGCTAAGATTCTGCTAAAAGCTTTTCTTTTTACGTTAGAATTAGTTAACATTTTTATATTAATATTAGATTAGAATTTTTTTTTGATACTAACATATACAAAAAACATATGAAAACGGCTATGCTCATTAGAAAATTTCTTATACTTGTTGACCTGAACCTATGATTAATGAATGAGTGACTTGGATAAGAGTGAACAATAACGACAAAATAAAAACATAGTAAGAGATTATAGATCTAACCGTATTTGTTTTTTGATGCATAATATTTGGTACACTTGTTGCTTTGCGAACTGTTGGTTGTTTTGCTGTTTTTTCTTCTAATAATACTTCCTGAAAATAATTTTGAATATTTTGTTTTGTTAATCAATATTAAACTTACTTGTCTTAATTTATCACGTAATAAAATTGAATCAATCATTGAACCATATTGAATATATGTTTCAATATAATCATCTGAACAACATTTAGAATCAATCTTTTCACGATCTTCAATATCATGAAGATGTTTCGGTATATGCGATACAATTTCATAAACAACACTTGTTCCTTTATGTGTTTTCTATAAATAACATAAACGAAAATATTTTGTTAATACTTAATTAATTTATTTTTACATGACCAAGAAAATTTTTAAGTGTTTTTTCTGGCCACCATCCTTCTGTTTTATTAATTGTTATAGCAATACGTTTACGTAAAACAAGTTCCATATGAATTGGTTGAGAAATTATTACAATAATTCTAACAATTAAATAAATAATTGTATCATTTGGTGTAACTTGATTCCTAATATTTAATAAATATATTACAGTAAATGAAATAAAATAAATAACACAAAATTTACATTGCAGTTGATTCATGAATTGTTGGATTCCATTGAGCAACAGCACGAACCTAAAAATTAGTGTTTTCTATGATAAATTGTTTTTAACTGATTATTTTCTAAACCTCATCAGCTGCGTGTTGAATTAATGATAATTTAACCATTGGAGTTTTATTTTCTTCGTTTAATGCTGCTTGATGACCAGCTATATTATGTGATTTATTCATATCAGCATGATCAAGATTTAGAAATATAATTGGACGATGTATTTCAGTCGTTAGGGGTGGATCCCAAGCTGCTGGACAACCTAAAGGAGTAAAAAAAAATTTTATTACTTTTTTTCTAAAATGTGTGTGTTCTGGACTAAATTGCATCAAATTTTGTTATGTTAATCTTTCATTTTCTATGTGTAGAAGAATTCCTTAGTAACAAATATGAAAGAACTGTTAATGAAGACTTTGCTAAAGTTTTAACTAGAACACAAAAAACTCTTCATCGAGTTTTGGAGAAACAACTTTTACGCTATGCTCCGTAGTTTATTTTATAAACTACACGGTTTGGGTTTAGAATCTGACCCTTCATCCGATGATATAGTAATCACTTATCTATAATGCTTTTAAAAACATAGATTTCCAAGTTGTATCGAAAAATAACGATAATTATTAGTGTCAAGCCTTTTTCACTTTAGTAGTAGCATCAAGAAAGTTGAAAAGGTTTCGAAAGTATTGAATAGAAATTTGTTTTGGAGTCGGAAATAGATAAATTGTAACATCTGTTTCCCAGTAGTGCAGGAAATGTTTCCTCAACATTAAACTGCTATGATCGGTAAGAGCATAGAAGTCATAAATCGCTCTATCTATCATCTGATAAATACCAAATTAGAATTAGCGAATTTAAGGTATCTGTGAACTGGAATTATTTTGAGTAGAATACCCGAAATAGTATTCTGCTGCCAGTCTCAACTACGAACTTGATCGGATACTTGTTATAGGTTTCCAAGTGTCTGATGATATTCGCTGACACTTTCCCACAAAAGCACGTTCTCGGCTCTAGTAGCAAGCGCAAATCTGCAATTGAATAGTGCTCAAAATGTATCCTTTTAGTTAAAAGAAAACCTCTTTAATGAGGACATCATCACATAAACAACTAAAAAGCGTTCACTTTGGGATCGTGCACATTATTGAGAGATTTTCAATTGATGGTACTAACTATTAAAGAAAACAAAACGATGAGATGTTACATCAAGCACTGTTGCTGTTATCTAATATTATTTCTTTTTCTTTTAAATATCCATGACTAGTTTACCTTCCTTGTATAAGTGTATCATGATTATGTTACACTGCTAGTGCTCATGAAACAATAGATAAACGCCCACTGCTCTGAATTTTTTTATGACTTTTTACTGTTTAATAAGATTGGTCTTTTTTCCAAAGATTTTTAAAACTATGGCAATTTTTTGAGTACTACACTTATGACAGCTCACAAAACTGAACAAGTTCATCGAAGTAGGAGTGTCTACACATCTAGCACTGATTTATTTAAATAGTTTAGTCCTTTTGAAAAGAATTGAATGAATGATGTCATTTCAGTTTGTCGATCGCGAACTGTCACAAATTACATTGAGTATTAGAATTTGATTCAATGATGTTTTTTGTGATATTGTAATCAAAAGAGAAAAATTTTTGTTTTTTAAAAATTAAAATTTCACATTTATTTAAATAATTTACCAGGTATTCCACTACTTGATGGTGGAAATGATGCAATATTATGTTCTTCAGCTAAACGTAAAAGTTCTTCAAGTAAAATATTTTCTCTATGAATATCAGTTGGTGTTTTATCTAAAATAATAAACAAAACAAAAAAACATGAATTTTCATTTATAGCGAAAAAAAAAATTTTCTTATTTTATGTTTACTTGTTTGTTGATTCAAGAATTTTATTTGAGATTCAAGATAATTTTTACGTTTTTCAATATAATTGAACCATGTAGATCTTAAACATTGTAAATCTTCATCTTGATAGGAATCTAATTGACATGGTGCATGTATTCTTCGTGTAGTTATTGAACCAATTTCAACAGATCGTATTTCATTAAATACTAATGGCATTGGATCTGATCGTGGAATTATTCGTAATTGTACTACAAGACGTTTTGAATGACCCTAATCACAATAGATTTTAATATAATAATAGAATTTTTCTTTTTTTTTGGTTATCTAAACCTGTTTTAATCGATAAATACCACCACTAATAATTTTTTCTTGTGCATCAACTTCAACTGGTTTCCATTGTCCTAATGAATCTAATTCATGAATTTCAACAGAAAATTGTATATGTCTTTTCACGTCTTTCCAGTATTGACTTATTTCATGAATTAAAATATTACGTCGATTAAGTTCATTATTTTCTATTATATTAATATCTTTTGATTTTGTATTATATTGATACCAAACTTCAATTGATATAACACTTTCAAAACATGTAGAAAAAAATTGATCATTGATTGGAAATATATATTCCTTTATAGAATGAGGAAAATAAAAACAATTAGGTTTAAATTTATTGATTAATTTCATATTACATTTTCATGATTGAATAAAAATGTACGTAATTTTTGTTCATTATCATTATTAGAAGAAGATTGTTGAGAATAAATTGTTTGATCTAATTTTGGATTTATAAATGTATAACGACACATAACATATTCAGCATTTGATTGTGGTAAATCTCGTATTTCTTTGATTGCAAACTATTTAAAAAAAAAAAATATTGTTTAGATTATTTCTTTTTCGTTAATCTTATCTGAGAACAGAAAAAAAAAAAGAAATAACATACGTTTATTTTTACTTCATCATTTTGACTATTTGATAATGTTGATAAATCACCAATACCTTCATCTTCAAGACTATGTTGACTGTCACTATTATTACTGAGAATTGCTTCATCACTATTAACATTAATATCATCATGATTGCTGTGGTCTACTGTACTATTTATTTGAAATTCACTAAAATTTTTCATTGATGATAAACCTGTTTGACTCATAACAACATGTAGGGAACCAGACGTCTATTAATAAGGAAAATCAAATGTATTAATTTATATTTTCATTGTTGGTATCATGAAAAAAGCTAACTAGCTTTGAAAAAATACTCTATGTGTATCAGTAATATTTATGACCGATTCTGTATATATAAATGTTTGTTAGTATTTTTTACTAGTTATAATGTTTTATCTTTCAAGGCTCTGAGAGTGTTTTGTCTTTCGTCGTTTGTCGGTAATATCGAAGTATTATATTACCGAACAAAACCCATCCTTGTCTTCGAATAAAAGGCTATGGTCTTCTATGATGAAAAGCTACATTATATCCATAGATTAGATTTGTAGGTACCTAACTCCAAAAATTCACTAGATTTTTGACAAAAGAACTTTTTGAAAAACTCATGACTTTCTGCTCTGAGACGGAGAAATTAGTATGCAAAATTATTATGAAAAACTGAAAAATTATAGAATCGGTAATTGAATTCCATATTGATAATGGTTCTGTGATGTTACAGATATGCTTGAAACCTTAGTCGCATAGATGATGAGACAATTATTTTTATTAATTTATGTCAAGCTTTGTCGCTACAATCAATGGTAATAGTTTATTTTTATATTACTTCTCCTTGTGTATTAAAAATTGGCACAGTATAATCAATTTTTGTATCATAAAATAAAGCCTTCAGATAAATATTTGCAACACCAATAAAACTGTTCGATTGTTCATCAAAAAATGGATTATTTCGTTTTAATGCTTGTGTTAAAAATTCTGTCTAAATAAAGACGAAAATTTTCATTTTTTTTTTCTTTTGTTAATAAAAAAAAAAAAAAAGAGTTCTTACCTTATTGTCAGCTATTATCCATTTTGTATGAAGATTTTTCATATGATTTAATTGAGATTCAAATTTTTCAACATCCCATATTTGTGTTAATGAATTTCCTCCTCGTTTGACTTGTATAGCTGGTACACATAAATTATTTATAGACTTAAAATAAACAAAATAAGTTTATAAAATTTTATTTATATAAAAAAAAATAAATGAATATACACGTTCACTTGGTTTTAAATATGAAACAGGTATTTGTAAAATAACATTATAGATTATTTGTCGTTGCATTTCTTCAGATATTGTATTAGCTTCAGATACAAGTGTATTAATACGTATAAATTCTTGTTTAAGATGATCAATAAAAGCTTGATGTTCTTCAGATTTATTTGAAAGTTCATTTGATAGATACCATTGTGAAAATGATGAATAAGAATTATTGTTTTCAGAATTCATAGTTGATGAATAATTATTTATATTTATTAATTGTTTTTGAAGACATTCAATTTCTTTTTCATAATTATCACGTAATCCTAAAATAATAAATGAATATAAGTAAATATATAAATAATAGTTATTTTCTTAATTACTTTTATTAACAATTGATTCTTCTATTATTGAATTTGTTAATAATTGATTAGATGGTGGATCATTTTGTGTATTATTTAACGTTGAGTCCATTATTTTGTAACAAGAATTAAGAATTAAAGATTTATCTAATAATTAATTTAGTACAAAAAATATTATCTTTATTTTAATTAAAATAATATACTTCTTGATAATTCACTTTATTTTTTTTATTTAAACAGATGTTTTTGAATGGAACTTTTATTATCTATTAATCATTCTATAGATATCTATAAAAAGAATTTTCAATGAGTAAAATAAAGCAGAATTCTTATCACTTCGTTTTTGATAGTGTTGATGAAAAAGGTTGGTTATGAGACTAACCAATAAAAAATTTTGTTAAAATAATTCATCTTTTTTTTGCTTCCATGTCTACCTATAGATAATTTTTTGTTTTTTCGACGTTTGTTTTTTATTTTATATGTTTAAAAAACGGTTGTTGACATAGATTTAATATCTATATACTGCGTTGTATAAGAGAATGGCGTCTAATGAATATAAAGCACGTGCTCTTTACGATTTTGTTGCTGAAACTGCAGCTGAACTTAGTTTTACTGAAAATGAGATTCTTATATTAACATCAACACCAGCGGAAAATCTATGGTGGTAAGATAAATTATCCTTTATTTAAATATTTCTTTTTTTTTTCATCTTGTAACAAAATATAAAGGACCGCTCGAAATTCCTTTGGACAAACAGGTTCAATTCCATCAAATTATGTAGAAATAATCTATGATGAACAAGAATCAACACAACAAACAGCAACATATCAAGATATAAATTTTAATTATGATTCTATCGATGATGCTAATATTTATCATCAACCAACATCCGAAGCGACTTATCAACCTCAAATCGAACAAGAACAAATACAAAATACCGATCTTACATCAATTAATAACTGGACAACAGATCCAGATTCACAAATCTACCAAGAACCATTTGTATGTTTTATTTTTATTCTTTTTTTTTTTTATATTGAAATTTATATTTCTTACTATTTTTATAACAGACAAATGATCAACAAATAAATATAGATAATACTTTCAATCCATTATTATCAACAACAAGAAATGATAATACATCTGATTTTATACCTGTAACATCTTTATCATCTGATCCATACATAACAGTTACAGACATTCCAGTAGTACAAAATTCAATACTACAAACATCTGATAATTCTTTTCAACCAAATATGAAAACGTCTTATCAAACCGATCCATGGTATTTTGATTCTACAAATGTATCGACACCAATTTTATCAACAGATTCTTCAATACAACATGATTCAACATTATCATATGGATATCCACAAATAACAATCACAGATGCAAGACAAGAACAACAAATTTCATCATTAGATGATTTTATGTATTCATCACAAATGTCAAATTCTGATGCTATTTATGATAATATACCAACACAAGTAATAAATTCTAATCCACCTGTAACAATGATGCCATCAACTATACATAATATATCATCAATACCGATAGAAAATAATAGTAATTTAAATAATTTTCCTACAACTCAACCATTATCAGAAACAAAATCTGAAGAAGTTGCAAAATCAGCACCACCTATAAAAGAAACAAAAAATAAATTTTTTACATTAAAACGTCAAAAATCAAAACGTGAAGGAGAAAAACGACTTTCATTAAGTGATGCATCATTAGACGTAAGTAATTCATAGACTATGTTTAATAGATTTACCATTCAAAATTTTATAATATTATTTCTTTTTCGTCTTTTAGTCATCACTAAAACGCATGAATGATGATAATAATTCGTTAAGTTCTAATGTTTCAGGATCAGCATTACAACATACGGTAAAATATTATTTTTTTTCTTTTTTTTTCAAATTTGTATTTTTTATTTTGATAAAATAATAGAAAAATAAAAATTTGTAAGTTATTTATTTCAACAATTAAAACTATAATAGTTGATAATATTGAATTCTTATCGTTTTTCTTTATCGTATATAATGAAATGCACTTCTGTTTTGTCTTATGGTTTTTGCTTATATTAACATTTATTTTTGTTTTTTTTTCAAGAAGAAAAATTTTTTTTTTGTTTACATTTAGATATCAAATCCAAACAAATCACCTGTTGGAGAAGGTGATGCTAAAGGATCAGCTCCACGAGCAAGGTAACTAATTTATATATAATGTGGTGGACATAAATTCAAGACATTTTTTGGTTTTGCTATAACTCACCCATCTTTATAGGTAGAGACCTGCTTCTTTCAGCGTTAGAAAGATCTTGCTAAGTACTATGGTATCTGAAAAAAATTGCAAAGATCAGATCTGTGTTGATTGAGTTATAGCGAAAACAATTTTTCTCCAGCGGACATAATTTTAAGACATTATTAGTATTTTGCATTTTTTGACCAAGCGATTTTACTGAAAACAGTTAAAACATATACCATTCGACGAAGAAATTTGTGCTCTACATTTTGAAAACAAAAACATTTTTTATCCACTATCAATCCATATTTTTGATATCTGGTTTTTGTTAGTCTCAGGAACTAATGGTATTGCAAAATGAAGGAT